TTTCAAGGACCTATTTTTAAGAGTGAAATAATATTTAGTTTTTAGCTGTTGCCATTTCCCGGCTATATTTTACCACGTGGTGGTAGTTCTGTGATGTGGTTTACTGGTCACTGGAAAGTTGACATCACCAAAAGCATTTCATTCACAATCTAAGATTTTCATGATAAATTACAGACCTGCAAGCAAATAACTGGAATTGCACAGCTGTGACTTGTGTGCTGCTTTGATTGAATTTTTATCGGCAGTGAGGACTGTCTATGAAGGAACTGTTGCATTCAGCATCCATGTGATTATGATTAAGTTTTTAACATAAGACTCCTCTTGCCCTTTATAAACTCACAGTTGTAGAAATTTGCAGACTCGTTCATTGTGTGCGTTACTATTATGTGCCTCAATAGAGTGCCTGGGAGTACCGGCCACAGAGCAGTGCCCATCGAGAGCCAGGTTCTATTTTTATTCTTAAGTAAGTTTCTAGGCAAGCCTCTGAAACTGGCAACGAGCTGAAGAAATCTGTTTTTTGCTTAGCGATACTGCTGACCCAAATCAGGTAGGAAGCTGGAGGGCTGTGGGCACACAGTTGATACCTGTGAGAGGAGAGGGAGTGGCTCACATTTGAAGGAGAAAGAGCAGCAGATGACTGCAGAGGCCATGCTAGCTGGATACCAGGGTGCTGTGCTTGCAGGGGCTACTTCAGATCAGGAAATGTTGGTCAAAGCTCAGTCCTCTTGACGAAGGCAAATAAAGCCCCAAATCCACAGAAATATTATAGTTCTACAGCAGGTAAGGCTAAGGACCTCAAAAGCAAGTGGTTTGAATAAACTCTGGCTCCAAAGTGTAAAGAACAAGTGGTGGTGCAAGGCAGGACACACTATAGTTGGCTCTCCCATAGGTGCTTTGTGTCTGTAATACTAAATGGAGAAAAAAATGTGCTTTGCTTAGTGAAATGATGACAGATGACTTGAATACTCTCCAGAAACAACTACACTGAGCAAGAAGGTGTCATCTTAAGGCAGTTACCCCGTGATGTGACCCTTTACGTTTCAATTTTTGCAAAACTAAGATTATCGCTAATGAGCAATCCCCATTGAGGCCTCAGGTTCTTGCTCAGAAGTGACATGGGAAAAAGATTGCGGAAACCCCCGAGCTTGTTCTTCCAGATTTTTTCTTTTAAAGGAAAGAGGCCCATGCAACTCTATCTTCTCTGAAATGTCTGTCTGAACATTCATCTGAGCGAAAAAGTAATTTTAGCATCCATGACACACAGCGTCTGCTGCCATCCGATTGCTCAACGGCACCAAGAATAAATATTTCCTTAAGCCTGAGGACAGGAATCTGAATGCTGCTGGTTCCCCCTTCAGAAGCACCTGTGTGTGTGTTTTTTCAAGGTCTGAGTAACACACTGGTGCTTTGTAGCTCTGAGTCATCGAAGCTCTCCGACCCTACAAGCACGCTCTTGCTCAGCGTCCTTTTCAACAAATGGAGGAGGAAAAAAAAAAAGAAGCTGAAAAGGCGGCCTGCAGCTCGACACCAAAACACAATCCTCCTGCAAACCTTGACATGAGCATGCCTGTTTTTCCAAAGAAGTCAATGGTGCTATTCATGTGCTTAAAGGTAAGCAGGTGTTGGCATGCCTTACCGAACCGCATCCACCAAGCCCAGAGGAGGTTTGTCTTTTTTCCCCTGGATTCTTCCCCTGTCATATATACTTGTTCTGAGGTAATGTTAATCAAGCGGGAAAGCTGACTGTTTTTTTAGGAACTGGTGTAAACTTGTGTGCTTCACACACTTTCTAAGTGACAAATTAAATTTACACAGGATACCTAGAGCTCTTTGAAGCACTCATTTGCACTTGGTGGTGGTATTTAATGAACAGCTTCACCAATAGTGAGATCATTAAAGGAATGACTAGGCTGTTTTTTGTCTTATTTAATCACTTCAGGGGAGGTTGACACCTTCACATTCATTGAGGCCCCTTCTCTCTCTAGATAAGAGCTCAGCGATATCTAGATCACTGACCCACAGGCCAGTGCCCGATGAGAGGAAGGATGTTCCAGGGGTTATGGGGCGAACTTGAGACTTGGGAGACTCGGTCTGGTTTCCTGTCACCTCCGTAAAGCCAGCCGGCCTCCGGGTGCGAGTTCCTCATCTGCGAAATGAATTGCACTTCCCTGTCTCAGAAGGACACTGTGGTGGGAATGTGCTGGTGATGGCGAAGCGTCAGGTCGTTGTGCTGCCAGCAGCATGAGTACTTCTCAGCCCCCAAGGGAAGCTGACGTACAGTTTGACGATGAGACACAGCACGTTCCCCTGGCAGGGGGTTAAACAAGGGGTAGCTTGACTTCAATGGGGCTGTGTTAGCAAAAGGGCCCAAGTTCACTGGATTGGCTCCCACCCTAAGAAAACCCCAGGTTGCTTTTGTTTCCTTTCCTGTCCTCTCTCCCCCCACCTTTCATGCTCGGCAGGTCCAGCCGGTCCATACCAGGCCAAAATTCCTCACCTTCGCGAGGAGGCTGGGTTCACGTGGGGGTTAGCACATGGACACCGAGAGCCTTGACTTTATGTCGTTGAGCATAAATCAAAGGAGGGAGTATTGCAGCTCTGTGAATGTGTTGGCTTGTGTGAAAAGGGGAAGGACACAGTCACAGAAGAGACTACTTATTGACATAGAGTGTAGATTTATGCAGCTGCAGCTGCGGGTATACCGTAACAATAGCTCTCTTTATACGGTAAAGCAGGGAGGTATGAAACGACTTCCAAAAGGTAGCTGAGCAATTAGCCTGCTCCCCTAGCCTCGGCGCCAGGGGAGTGCTGCTTCCCCTCAGGCTGAGTTGTGATTCTCAGAAATTATTCCAGACCCTTTAGCTGAATGCTCTTTAGCGGATTTGCATATCCTTCCTTAAAAAGGATGACTTTGCCCTTGTTTGACACTTCAGTAATTTTTTAGTCTTTTCTTCTAAAGAGGAACCATCAAACTGGGGCAAACGAGGAAGAAGAGGACATTCTGTTACAAAAAGCGAGTGACTGGACCTGTCATTGGTCTCATCACTTTTATTGCCTTTTCGGATGGCTGGGAATAGGAATGAGTTGCTCAAGACCTTCTCTCTGCTGCTCAGTCCTGCAGTGTCGCCTCACCCCCGTGCTGGCCAGCTTAGTGTTTTAGCAGACACCGCCTGAAGTGCATTACAGAAAACGAGCTCCTTCTATTACAGGAGCGTTTTCAGCATTTCCCTTGGGACACAGAGCGGTATCACTGTTCAGCTGCCAGGCTGGCCCGGCTTCCCCTTTCCTAGATTGCCTCTCGCCTTGCCAACACTGATTGTTATCCTGTGCCCCTCCTGGAAGGTGCTGCACCAAGGCAAAACACAATCTTTGTTCCAAAAAACGTATAACCTAATAATGAGAAAGGAACTGCTAATGAATGCAAAGAAAGAGACAAGGAAACAATGAGACAACAGAAGATTTCTTGCAAGACTGGACTCCTAATTTGATCTGGGATTGTTGTCATCATTAAAAAATGGCTATAAGGTATTTATAACCAAAAAGTACCTGACTTGTGGTACTCACTCTGTTCCAGACACAGCTAGTGCAGTTTTGATAAACCCAAGTTATGCACCAACCCATGGCTCCAACTCCAAGCCAAAAGGTGGTGTTTTAAAGAAAAATTTCAACATTTTTGGTTATCTTTAAGTTACAAGACCCTTCCCAGCATTAGAAGAGGACAAGGTGCTTAGGAAAAAATATTTTCTGTTTGAAGAGATTGCTATTGCTGAAACTAGAAAAGAATGAAAGAGGAGAAGTAAAGACTTGGAGGAAACAAGGGGAGAACGCGAAGTGAAGGAATGGAAACCAGTATCAGTAGGCACAGGGCTGTCATATGCTATTAGATGACAAAAGCTCCCTTTAACCAGCAGCAGGAGCTTTATTTAGCTTTCTCCAAGTAAATGAGATTTTAACAACTGTATCCAATAATGGATTCCTTGCTACGGGCCAGATTTTGAATCATCTTATCTATTGCAAGATCAACAACTGGTTGTAAGGTGTTGAGTTTGCCTGGAGGACCGCTGCCAGCAGACTCCCGGGCAGCCAGAGCAGGGTCAGCGACGGGCTGGGCATGGTGCTTGGCTGGCCAGGATCCCCAGCACAAGCCATGCCCTGAAGACCGTCCGATGGAGCCACGTGTGCTGGGCTGCGAGTAGGACCACTGTGTGTACAGGCAGCTGAGAACAGGGAGGGGATGCAAAGGCCCATAAGAGCTAGAGGCAACACTGCTACCTGCTTTGCAGACGCCCTCTCATGTAACAGTTTCAGGTGGTTTGGGAGGGTGGTTTGTGTTGGTTTTGTTTTTTGAGAAGCAAAAAGCTGTTGGCTTAATTGTATCACCTCTCTGGATGGCTGCCTCAGTTCCATGAGACCATCTCTGCGGGACACAGTGGGAGCCATAAAAAGCTGCAAAATTGAAGTCCGATATTTTCTGGGGCTAGCCAGGAGTATTGTGTCTCCCAGTGGGAAGCTGGGAACTTCTTCTTTTTCAGGAGTATAAATCGTTCACCTTACTTGTTTGCTTAATGCTATACATTAAAACTGTCAGTTGCCCAGGTCTTGGTCTGAGGTCATGTCTGTGGAAAAGACTACAGAAGTATCTCTATGCCAATTTTTTTTCTTTACAATTGTTTTAAAGTCATAGATTTCAAATAATAGAGTACTGTAAGAAAAGGTTATATAGCAGGCCGAAAGTTCATGACAAATTGCAGGATTGTGTTATTTATTTATCACCTGGCTGTATTACAAGTCCTTGTGTGTACAGCATCAAGTACGTATTCTTAGCGTGTCTACAAAGCACCTTTGAAGTCATAAATGTTGAGTAATTTTTACTGCTTAGCTATCCAAAATGCTATACAGAAGAAATGTTTTCCTCCTCTCTGCCAGCACTGTGACTAGATAGGTCTGAAGCTCTCCATGTATGTTGGTTCTCATGTCCTCTCCCTCCTTTTCCTCTCCAGTTGTCACTACAAATCACTCCGCCGTGTGAAAGCGAACAACACTATGAATACTCTGGACGGTGCTGCACAAAGTGTGAGCCAGGTATGTGAGCACTGGGCTGTACCAGCTTCATAACTGAAAAGCTCATTAGAAACAGCTCTGTGGGTCAGTAAGGCAGCTTGCTCTTGTGACTCTGCTAATCCATTGGCACATACCCTCGCAGGTGCATGATTTCAGGCTTACGAGAGCCTTGTAGTGCAGGAGTGGTCCTGCTGACCTCAGCAAAAGCCATAGCAGCTATTTTGTTGGGATAGCACTGAACCACTGCGGGAGACAGAAAGCAGCTTGATTCTTGTGCGCGTAGATAGCACTGCTCCCAGGCCATAAGCTTCACAGATGTTTCAGGGCCACACTAAATGGCGGCCAGACTGAGAAACTGAAAAGGTGGCAGGAAGAAATGATTGTCCACAGCAGTACAGCAGTGTTAGCCCAAGCTGTTACTGTCCCTAAGCTCCTTAGACAGCTGGTGTGCAACTTGCAAACGACCTACTTGTCCTTCTGTCATTCACAGGAAAGTATATGTCTGCTAGATGCACTAGTACTTCTGATAGCGTGTGCCAGTCATGTGGCCCAAATGAGTATATGGACGTCTGGAATGAAGAAGATAAATGCTTACTACATAAAATATGTGATCAAGGTGAGCTATTCATACTGAAGAACCCTTCAATCCAAATTAGCGAAGCACGAAGGTGGGAAAGTGGATCTAGGGAAGTCGTTTTGTTCAGGTACCCGACACTGGAGGCTGGGCTTGCAGAAGAGCCTGGCAGAGAGGGAGGTCCCCAGACAGCAGAGATTCTGTGCTGTGCTGAGCACCGCGACCATAGTCTCCATGCTGCTGATAATCACTGTCTTCACTGGGGCCGTTCACTCCTGTGAGCTGGATCTTAAAGGTTGTCCTGTTGCCCAGCATGGTGTGGATTCACTTCCCCTAACACGTTTGTTTCGCCCTTGCAAAAGCTCTGTTTGTTTTCTACAGCAGCTACAAGGGAAAATATTGCTCAGGAGTGCAATCAGTGAGGAGCCCCGTGCTGATCAAGGGTCTCCCATGCTTCTTGAAAGATACATTTCCTCTAACGTGAATGGTTTTGCATCTGGCATTCAAGCAAAGCAAATAGGTAGAACAGGAGGTTCATAAACTTGAGGCTTATTATCAGAGATTTTTACTCCCATCTGCTTTCTCTTTTAGGGAAAGCTTTGAGAGAAGTGAACCCAGGGAACAGCACGTTCCAGCGGCAGTGTGCTTGTACGATGGGCTACCACTGGAATGAAGACTGTGACTGCTGTCAGCGAAATACCATATGTGCTCCAGGATTCGGAATCAAGCATCCTGGTAAGATACAGAAAGGGGATGTACAAAGTGAAGTGTCCAGCTCAGGCCTACTGGGTGAGGCCAGCATCATGTGGGTTGTGACGTTAGAGAGGATACTCTCAGATGACTGTCAACAGAAGATGCATATCTGATTTATCATTACTACTGCATATAACCCACCTGGACTATTGGCGTTTTGAAGGCTTCTGCCTCTGTAGTTTAAATAGTATCTCGGATCAAGTGACTTTTGCAAGATATCACATGGACACAGCAATAGTCGCAAGGTGCTCAGTGCATTTCTAACGTTTGCTGAGGTGTCTGACTGCGAGTCACTAGGACATGCATTGCTCCAGTGTTCAGAGAAGTGGTCCATTGGGGATTGTTGCTGAGGTCAGATTTGAAATCAGTTTTTGTCCAATGACTTTGCTTTGCCATTTTATAATGTTATAAGCAAATTAAAAGTGATTAACACCTTTCAGGTAGTGCAAGTATTCTTTGTTTTAGATGACTTGTAATGCAAAAGTTTATTACAGACACTTAATTTAGTCCTAAGTCTGATCGAAAACAAAATGCAGGTGTTTTATGGGTGGAAAATAGAGATGGTCAAGTTCAGAGTTGTAACGAACACTGGGATTGGCTGCGCCAAGCATGAGGAACCCAAAAAGCAGCACATAATAGAGTAATGGAGGATGAAATGCTGCATGGGCCTGGAGCACAGTGGTGCTGTTTTTTCTCCAGTCCAGCAAATCCTGATACAACATTTTGTTTACTGTGGTTTCATAGAAGTGACAATACCAGTTAGTGTTGCTGTCTGTGGCGTAGCATCAACACGAGGAAGTTAGTGGAAGGGGAAGGATATAATAGCTGTGTGTTATTTACAATAACTGCAAATGGCTCCTGGTCATTTCTCATTTTGATCATGTAGATAAGTGCTCAGGTGAGACTAGCATACTTTTTTCTGCTTACATGTGACTGTCATTGTTGCTCTAACGTAATCTAAGTTCCTTCTCTCTTCAGGGAAGCTTTTGGGGGAGGGGCAGGGGAGTGGAGCCAGGAGTGTAGGGAGCATAGTCACCTTCCCCTTACTTGAAAGGAACTCAGGGAAACTCAGCTATGAAGTTTTTCTTCCTTTACTACACACAGTGCAACAAGACAAGGACACAATGTGTACACCGTGTCCCAGAGGCTACTTCTCAAAGGTTGCTTCATCCACCGACGAGTGTAAATCCTGGACCAAGTAAGTCCCTGTATCTTGCAAGAGGACCGCTCTAGCCACAAGGCAGGGAGAAGCTTGGGTGAAAGCATTTTTCAGTGGGGTGTTTCAGGCTGTCTGTGGAGTGCACAGAGCATCTCTGTTGGCTATGCAGGGATGAAGGCATTCTCACGCTGGAGCTTGAAAATTCTCCTTGAGGGAGAGCGAGAGAGAGCATAACAGAACTGCTGAGCTAACACAACTGAAAATAAAGAAGGTATCTGAGCTTCTTAAGGGTGGAGAAATGCAGGATAAATGTTGTACGTTACAACAGAAAGTACTACTCTGCTTAAGTGTAGGAGCCATGACAAGTCCCTCTTTGAGAACCTAGCTTCTTTGTCTTTCTTTTTCAGCTGTACAGCTCTAGGAATGGCAGAAATAGTGCCTGGGACTGACAAGTCAGATGCAGTTTGCGCAGAACGGAAGATGCCTGCGCCATCGGAAGACGGTATGTGTCCTCATACAAATTATCTGTTAGAAAGTACCAGGGAGGAGGAGGGATGTGTTTACTAGGGTTTTTGGCTGGCTTAACTCCATTCCCATTGTGGGTGACTCTAGGGGGAGCAGCTGTAGACCAAGACAGCGCTTTTGGAAAATCCCACCTTTAAAGATTACTTTAAGCCTGGTGGCTCTAGAGCCCGTGTCCACTACTAAGCAGAGCTTTACACCTCCCACTGAAACTGCATAACAAGCAGCATTGCTGTTATACCTGTGGCCTCCGTCACATTTACAGCTCTTTCATTTTTTCAGCCTGCTGACTTTCATACATGCATTATCTGTATAAAGGCTAGGAGCTTCTCTCCATGTTTCTTTTATAGCAATGGATACAGTCTCAGCTGAACGTAGCTCTCCCTTCTTGCTCGCTGCCCATTTCCGTATCCGGTGTGGATATGGCACCAGAGAGACTGCTTGCCTGGCATCCAGTGATCCTTCATAACCTGAGATAAAGGACAGATTTTTCCAGCTGAAGTCTATAGCCTCCATGAGAGATATGTCCCCCGTCCCCTGAGGCAGAGCAGGCACAGCCCATGGGCTGCTGGCAGCTTGCAAGGGGACTTTCAGAGGACCATGACTGGATCGCACCTCTCTCAGACACCAAGACACTGTTTTTTATGGAGATGGCTCGGTACTGGGTACTTTCAGTGAGGCTGTTTGTCACAGAACTGCATGAGTGCTAGAGCTGTTGTCCTTATTATAGAAACTGAAAATCAAATAGGAAGGAAAAAACAAACACTGTCCTGTGGAAAAGTAGGTAAAATGAGCAAGGATTGTCATACTGCTGAGTACAAGCTGCATGTTGATGGCACTATCTTTTTTACATCCTGCAGGAACAAACAGGATCTTATACGTGTTGATTGTCATCTTGTTTTTTGCGGCACTAATTGGCATTGTCATCTTCATCATATACTACAAGAATAAGGGAAAAAAGCTGACAGGTACGTGATAGCTAATGATATTCATGAATGTGACAACTTCATGGCTCTCTGTGCAGTCTGATTTCATGGGTAACAATCAGGTTAAGAAACTCAGGAGTTGTTTTGGAAGTTCTGTGCTATCCCTATATCTGTCCATATGGATATGCTTTAACTAGCGCAGAGCCAGGCTTCAAATTCCTTTCCTCTAGGCAGGGAACAAATTACACTTATGCATAATGCATATTGCTTGCTATCCTCCTGCAGCCCTGACCATGGGGTGACCGCCCTCAGGGTGGATGCAACCGCTGTGTGGATGAAGGAGGGCTGGTGCTGGGGGCTTTTATAGCAGCACGGCTGCTCCGCACCATGTGGCACACCAGACCCCTTGGCCGAAGGGAAGCAGGGAAAGACTTACGGGGCTTTCACCACCTCCTGTCTCCTTCCCCCCGCTTGCCTTCCTCTCCTGAAACCTGCATCTGGACAGGTTAAAATACGGTTTTCAAGACAAAGGCCTGATGTGTATTTGAAAATATGATGGAGGCAATGTTTTTAGCTGAAGGCCGAAGTTCTGATGAGGTATGGAAGAAATACTAGAAAGAAATAAACAGTACAAGTAGAAAAATAGAAAAATTCTAGCAAAGGCATACTGGATAACAGTGGGGCAGTGAATATATTATGAATACAATGGAGTCACCTTCAACAGTTACTCAACTCTGTGTTAAGCCCTGGATCTCCTTACTTAGGAGTTAGGACATACCCATATTGTTCTGTTCATTTTTTATTTTCTCCCACTACACGTGGAAAATTTTTCCTAGTGTATTTTTTCCATCATCTCCTTTCTCAAGCCCTACCAATTTATGAAATGTTTTGGGAGCAGTGGAAGGGAAGACAGCAACCCTCTCTTCTAAAGTATGTTTCAGCCTGTGTTTTAGAAATAGGCTGCTTCTGCCACACAAAACACGGGTTGTGCTAAATCTGGAATTCCTGGGATGGGCTGGAGGAAATGGTGACGCTCCTTGCAAACCAAATACTTACGATGCAAAGCAGGTTAGGGGGGAGTGCTCTTTATTTGACATTTCTATTGCCCTGCTGCTCTGCAGTGACAGTCCTTCATTGCCTTTGCGTGGTAAATCCTGCTAACCAGAGCCCCTGAGACTTGCAGGCTCAGGAAGAAGCTCTCCCTGCTGGGGGACTGATGGTAAATGTGCAGACTTAACACCAGAGGAACAGAGTCATTGCTGGGAACTGGCAGCGGCTACAATGCTGATCTATCTTCAGACATACAAAACCAGCACAAGCTTCAAGTGTACATGAGACCTGAGCCCTACAAAATCTCCTGAAAGTATAAGCAGAAAACAAGAATTGCTAACTATTAAGTGGCAGTCTTTACCATAAAGCATTGTTGGACTTAAAGCTTTTCCTTGGGAGATACTCCAATTAAGTGAATTTCCCCATTAATTGCACCCTGATGAGGTGGAATATGCTGTACTTGAGCCTGCCATCCCATGGTTCCAGTGGCTTACCATCTTCTCTCCAGGCTCCTCGCTCCTGTCTGAGAATGGTCTTTGGGCCATCCATGTGACTTCTCTTGAAATAGACCGTACGGCTGTGAGCGGGTCGGTATCAGGCCAGTCATAGCTTGGTGTGACATATGACCAGGAAAGAAACCCCATTTGATGTGGAACACAGTTTAACTGTGGTCTATTTTAGGAGCTTGGAAACATTTGTTCCACAGAAATATATCCCTGTTCCAGTTACAATGAATCCTCGGCGAGACCGACGCTGGGACACTTGGACAGTCAGTAAAAACAGTCTTGATGGTTTTCATTTAATATGATATTGCGGACTGTGAATGACTGTGGGTGTTTAGGTCTGTGGTTAACTTCAGTGCCTGCTATATGTTACAGCTACTCTTTTTG